TGACTGCTTAATTTCCTGAAGAAAGTAAAATAATGGTCCTTTATTCAAAGTAGTGATAAAAATAACTGCATCCCAAATTACCTCCAATATAACTTAAGATATTTAATAATATTAACATAGATATCTAGAACAGACATGGAATTTGTGAGTTCTTAAAAGTGTGCTATGCTTACTGGAATTTGAAAACAAAGAAAAATGATGAATATAGTTTGATAGGATCAAACGGAAGCCTGTTAAGAATGTAGAAGGTTCTGAAGCTTATCCAAGGGTTCACTTATTGTAAATGTCTCAAATTACAATGTGCAAGAAAATGATGCACCCAAGAATATATAATGACACCTTGAACCATGGCAGCTACTTGGTGGGTCCAAGATATGTATCTTCCTTATGTTAAGAAATCTTGTCAAGGAGGTATTTACAACATATTTTTATAGAAATATATATTAAAGTTCAATAAAGCAAATTAGAAGAGGTAAGGCTGTGAGAAAGAACTCCAGATTACATACCAGCAAGTTAACAGAACAGTCCCTTTCAAAATGAGAAAGAAAAATCAGAGCTCCAATATTTTAAAAAATGTCATGGGACAGCCAGAAACATAGAATGAATTATGTCAAAATAAGGACAGTTGGCCAGACTATTTATAATTGTATTTAACATAAACAGAAATTAGAGCTAAATATAACTTTTTCTTTTAATAACTATACCCAGGTTCAAAAGAATGGAGCAGGGAGAGTTATACTATCTACAATTCTGGAAATTTCCACATGTAGGTTGCAGTATTGCATGTTTAATTAACAGACTGCTAGGTAATAGATGCACATCTAGATTCTATATAAGCACCATGCTCAGATTATAATCAAACCAAAATAGTAATTAAAAGATATTATTTTTAACATATTTGGGAAAACAAAGTCTAACAGCACAAAACAAATAAAAGGAAGCATTTCATTGACTGGGCATATTTTAATGGGTTTAGTTTCTTTTTTAGAATTATAACTGAAGGTGGTAAGACAGTGAAACCAAATATAAAAGTGCTCTTCTGACCTAAAATTGTTTGGCTACTAGCTGTTCCCAACACTCGGTCTCTGGAACCACTGGCTGGTCAAAAATGGAAGTAATATGTGCTGGTGTCTTAAGAAGGTTCCCAATCAGTGGGAAAGAAGGGGGACTTGGAATTAGTTCATATCAGTAAATGAAATGGACAGCATCCTAAATGGATGAGTTTCAACATAACCAAACTTAAAGGTAAAATGAGTTCCTAGCGTTTACTACTCAAGGCATGGGGGTAAAGAAAAAAAAGCCTATACTATTAATTAATTATTACTACTATATGTACTCTTTTCTCCTCATACCCATGGCTTTATAGCCAAATTTTACTCCAAACACACTGCTTGTTGTAGCAGAGCAAGTTCTCTGAGAAAGATGAGAAGCAAAAGGCCGAGGCATCCCCACAGCTCCACTGCACTCTGATGCAGTGCTAACTAACCCTTTCTTCTCCTCCTCGTCTTTAATAGATTTATAATATATAAAAAGAGGTGAGATACAAGGTTACTTTTTATCTAAAAAAGTAAAGCATTTCACAAAAAAAGTGTTAGAGTTCTAGTGTTTAAATGAGGAAAGATGGTCTTAAAAAAATACAATCTGCTTTTCAATGGCCTTTCCAATCTAGTGTTTCCTATTACACCAGAAAGTCAGTATAAATTATTTACTGAATAATAGAAGGCATTAATGGTCAGTATAAGATTCACTGGGCAGGGTAGGGGAGGGGGGCATTATTTGCCAATGCCCTCCCAATTTCATTAGAAGATGATTTCATCCCTAAGGAGCCCCGGTGGTACAATGGTTAAAGCACTTGGCTACTAACCGAAAGGTCAGAAGTTCGGCAATTTCCGGCAACATGGTGCTCTAGGCAGAAGCACTACGCCATCCCTCCACAGCAAAGATCCAAAAAACGAAGCCAAACAGAGAAAACAGCAATCCTGAAACCCTAAGCATCAAATGAAGAGATAAAGAACTCAGCCAAGCACCAAATGGAATAAGAAACTGACAGAGAACAGAGAGCAAGGAGACATACATGCAGACGTCCCCTA